ATTTGTGTATCTAGTAAAATATGTATTTAAGTCATTTTTATATTTTTGAATTCTTCTGCAAGAATGGATTCTAGATGCTATTATTTTTTTCACATAAATCATTTAGTAGTTCTTATGGTGATGACCTATTTACTCATTTCCAAAATGGTTTCTTTGAAGCATAAAAATTTAAATGTGCTGAATTTAATTGTCAGTTTTGTTTGAATCATTCTTTTTAATTTCAGTGTTAGCTACATTTTAATATGTAGCTTACTTACAGGTATTTTTTTGTATATTCTGTGAAGCAAGAGTCTAAGGTGACTTATGTTACCTTTGCACATTACTATTTTCTCAAAAATTCATACATTCTCTGTTGAATTGTCTTGATATAGTTGTTAAAATTTAGTTAATAATGTAAATTCCTTTCTAGACTCTTAATCCTAATCCATCAATCTACATGCCTGTTCTTATCTGGCATACAGTACCGTACAATTTTCATTACTGTAGTATCAATTTAAGTTTTAAAATTAGATCATAGAAGTTATCAAAGTTCCTTTTTTGTTGAAAAACTCTTGTTTGTTCTATATCTTTTTCCTTTTTATAAACATACTAACATTTACTTAATAATTTCTACAGAAAGAACTTGCTAAGATTTTGGTAAGACTTATTTTGAATTTTTTGGATAATAGGAAATTTGGTATCTTGATCACTTTGAGTCTTTGAATCCATGAATGTAGAATGTTTCATCATTTTCTTAGGATTTATTAACCATTGTTTTGTAGATTTTAATATATAAGTTTTATACTTCCTTTATTTTATTTACTCTTATTTTATCTAATGTTGTTATCAAATTATTAATTAATAATAAATTAATATCATCTGTATGGCATTTAGTTCTGTTTTCTTTTTTACTACAATACATCAGCTAGGCTCTCTTTTCTAGTGTTGCATAGAACTAGTGAGAATAGACAGTCCTACTAGACTGAGATCTGGAGAATTGTGGTTTTAAAGCCAAGTAAGGCAGAAAAGTCAGGCCGACTTCATCTCCAGAAAAACGAGCAAAAAGATGTGCTAGTGTGTGGCTCAACTAGTAGAGTGTCAGACAAATGTAGAGATCTAAAGGCAGTCCTGAATTCAATTCCTAGTAACACACACACACACACACACACACACACACACACACACACACACACACCCACACACACATTCAAATACAGTACTGTGGACTTTTCATAGATGCTATTCATTACTTGGGGAATGATCCATTCTATTAATAGTTTATGAAGAGTTTTTATTACGAGTTGCTTTCAAATTTTGTCAAATACTTTTATAAATTTATTGAGATGATCAGTTTTTGTACTTTTCTGCTATTATATATATTGACCAACCTTAAATTAAGTAATTTTGCATGATTAGATAACTAATGAAGGATATAATGTACATCTAGAATTGTCCATTTGGTTTCAATGTGCCATCCTTTTCATAAAGTGCTACATAGGTTTATTCATATTATGAATATTTGTCTTCAGTATTCCTAAAGAATGACTTGAGAAGCCTTTCTTTTTTCCTCCCTTATTGTCAGAGCTTATAATGTGCTGACATTGTTTCATTAAGGATCAATGGATTGTACAGCCTGTAGGCCAAAATCAAAATATTAGAGAACAGACTTGTAGTCTTTTCCTATTTTTTGTGTGATGTCTGAGGCCATCTGCTTGTTTTGATAATTTTGTGCAGTCCTATTATACTTGATGTTATAAGTATCCAAATGACCTCTAGCAGAAAACACTTCCCCAAAGCATTTATTATAAAAGGATATTGCATCTTGTCAAAACCTTTTTCAACACCTATTGAGATGATCACATGATTCTTGTCTTTATTTCTGTTGATGTGTTGTATTACATTTATTGATTTATGTATGTTGAACCAGCTTTGATTCCTTGGATGAATCCCATGTGATCCTAATTGAATTTAGTTGAACAATATTTTATTGAGAAGTTTTGAATCTTTGCTCATCTAAAAGATGGAACTATAGCTCTAAGTTTTCATGGGTTCCTATACCTGGTTTTGGGAAAATTCATAGAATGAGTTTGTTAGTGATCCTTCTCTATTTCACCAAAGAGTGTGAGGAGTATTGGTGTTCTCCTTTAAGGCCTTGTAAAATTCAGCTGTAAACCCATCAGGTCCTGGACTTTACTTGGACGAGCAGTCTTTTATTGTAATTTCAATTTCATTACTTGTTATGGATCTATTTAATTGGTTTGTTTTCTTGGTTCAATTTAGATATAATTATGTTCTCAGAGAATTGTATCCATTTCTGCCAGATTCACCAATTTATTGGCTTCAATTGGGTTTGCAAATTCTTTCCTTATAATCTGAATTTTGCTTATTATCTGATGTGATATCCCCATTTTTCTTTCTAATTTATTTATCCAGGTGATTTCTTCTGTTAATCAGGTTTGCTAAGGACTGCCAATTTTTTTTAATATTTTGAAAGAATCAACATTTTGTTTTGTTGACTCTGTCTTTAATTCATTTATTTCTGATCTAATTTTTGTTATTTATTCCTATCTACTGGTTTTGTGTTTGGCTTGTTCTTATTTTTCTGGGAGCTTGAGGCACATCATTAAAGTTTTGAGATTTCTCTAATTTGTTTAAGTATATGTCCATTGATACAAACATCCTTTCAATACTACCTTAGGTGTGTCCCAGAGGTTCTGGTAGGTGTTATGTTTGTTTACATTGATTTCCAAAAACTTTTGGATTTCCCTTCTTATCTTTTCCATGACTCACTGATCATTCAGCAGTGTTTTGTTCAGTTGTCATGAGTCTGAGAGTTTTCTGTAATGGTGTTTGGTGTTGAGCTCTAATTTTATTCCAATGTGGTCTGTCAGAATACAGAGAATAATTTCAGTTTTCTTGAATTTGCAGAGATTTGCTTTGTAACCCTAGGATATGGTGTGTTTAGAAGAATATTCGCTGGGCTTCTGAGAATACGTATTTTAACACTGCTAGGTGGAATATTCTGTAGATGTCTGTTAAGTCCAACTGGTCAATACAGTTATTTAATTCTGCAGTGTCTTTGCTAAGTTTTTGCCTGAATGATCTATCCAATGGTTAACAATAGTGTGTTGAAGTCATCAGTAATTAATATATTTGGATCTATGTATATTTTTTAGGTCAATTAGTATTTGATGAGTTTGGTTGCCCTAGCATAGATATTTAGAATTCTTAGGTTTTCCTGATAGTTTCTTTTACTAATATGAAATGTTCTTCTTTGTTTCTTTGACTAATTTTAATTTGAAAAGTTTTATCTGATATTAGTATTGCTACTCTAGCCTATTTATGAAGGCCATTTGCTTGCAGACTTTGTTCTGGCCTTTAATCTTGAATAGATATTTTGCCTGATTATTTCTTGTTGGCAAAATATTTTATGTTCAAGGCAAGCTAAGTACAACTGTCCTGCCCAGATATTATTATTCATTTCTCATTGTTCTAGTCAAGTGAGACAATTTGAATGTTTGTTAGCTTTTAATTTTACTGTTTGGTGAGGATGTTTTGAATGTGCACACTTAATGATCATCTACTATACAGTGGAACCTATAGTATAGCACATTTTGATTTTTTAAAAACATATAGCATACTCTACTTAGTAATTCACTTGATATTTTTTTCTTAAGTGGTTAAAAAATGGAAGTATAACAACTTTGTGAGCCTGGTCTTTTGTTTGGATACCTCACTACCCAGAATGGAAAAATATAGAAAATATTTATAATTTTATTGTGAATGGCAGAAGGTGCATTTATGACTGGTTTTGATATTATCTCATTTATATATTTAATATATTAAATTATTTCTGTGTCAGTAAGCTCTTCTCTGATGAGAAAATAAACTAATGTTCTCTATTTTAAATAATTAAATTATTTGAAAAGAACTGTACACTATCCTATTTATATTGACATGTGCTAGTTTAATGTCAAAGGCAGACTATGTTTTAGGAACATGTTTTCAGCAAAATGACATCACAATAATAAGCATTTTCAAGTATTCTAATGTAAGTGGGCTTCTTTTATTTTGGTGACACTGAAATAGAATTAAGGGCCTTACATTTACTATGCCTTTAGTGTTTTGCCCAGGTCAACCTTTTACCAGAAGTCTCTTAGCTGTGTCTACTTAGAATCAAGGATTATGTGACAACTTCACTAGCCCATAAATGAGCTTTTAGACATGATTTCACTATGTTACTTAATCTATTAGGCATATTAGGCATAATAATAACTGAGCAATTTTATCTCAGAAACTTATATTAACAAATCTATCCTAGATAAATTATTGACAGATTAAAAAGTATCAAAGAATAAAAGCTATTTCATATTATGAGTGCTAAATTTTGTTAAGTGTATATATTAGAAAAAAATTATATTACACATATGAATCACTTAGGGAGTTATATTGAAACACATAGTAGGTCTTACCAACAGAAATTCTAAGTAAATATGAATTAGAGCCCAGAAACCTCCGTTTTAAGTAAGCACATAATTCTCATGTAAGTTCTGCAACAAAACATAGTTGTTTATTATTCTTATTTTTCATACCACAGCCAAGTCAAGTTATTTTCCATGAGAATTTTCCTAATTTAATCTATTTTCAGTAGTCTCCATGATAAGGTTCATATGCCTCTAACAATTTATACTGTGCAACCCAATAGTAGATAGAAGAGCATATGAAAACTTATATTTTCCATTTTAAATCTATTTTTATTCACATATTTGTTGTAATGTATATAATTATTAAAAGTGAAGTATATTGTAAGTATAAATATAAATATTTGCTTTTAAAGAGCATGTAAATTATTGGACACTTTAGTCTCTTGATACTCTCTTTGCTTATGATGCAGTATTAAATATTTTGTAGTATTATACAATATTAAGGATTTTGTAGTATAAATAATTGGTAATTTACTATAATGTGACAGTTAACTGTTTGTTTTCTGCTCTCCTACTCTCTTTTGTTCCCTTTATCAGGTGATGCTTTTCCTTGGACCATCAACTTACATCACTTCAGCATATATACCCTTCTTGGAAAACAAGTGACACTTTGTCTTGTGGAACCTATGGGTTGTACCTCTACTCTAGCTGTAACATCTCAGAAACTACTTCCTACAGGACCTGATGTGAGACATTCATTTGTTGTCTGTCTCCATGTTGACCTAGAATCACTAGAGATAAAATGCTCAAATCCCCAGGTTGGTATAATTGACTTATGAAAGGAATGTTAAAAAGTAGTATATTTTAAAAACCATTATCATCCTTTTGGTTTTTGAACAGTGCTTCTTCTGTTAAGTACTCTAATTTATATTTTAACCAGACTATCAAAGAGTGGTTAACCTAAGAATTGCTTTGGAAGCCTTTCAGAATTTGTAATATAAATTTTTCTAAAGAGATATCAATTTCAGAATAAATTGTTCTATTGGATAATGGTATGAAATCAGCAGCGGATGTGATGTTTTTAAACAGTGAAGAACATCTTACTATTAGACTAGAATGATTGGGCTGGGAAGTTGGCTCAGTGGTAGAGCGCTTGCCTTGCATGCCTGAGGCCCTGGGTTCAATTCCTCAGCACCACATAAGCAAAAAGAAAAAACCCGGAAGTGGTGCTGTGACTCAAGTGGTAGAGCGCTAGCCTTGAGCTGAAGAGCTGAAGGAAAGTGCCTAGGCCCAGAGTTCAGGCCCGATGACCAGACCCAAAAAAAAAAAAAAATAGACTAGAATGACCTATTGAAGTGATCAAGTAAAATTTTCAATCAAACTTCCCTATCCTGATATATTTTAAGAAAACAAATGATACTACTGTATACTGTATCACAAATCCATTTGTTTTCAGTTGCAATAAGCCAATCATACTTTATTTCTCATATGTTCTTTTTCTTTTGTTTGTTTTTGTCAGTTGTGGGGCTTGAACTCTGGGCATAGGCGCTGTCCCTCAGCTCTTAAGCTTAAGGCGAGCACTCTATCACTTGAGCCACAGCACCACTTCCTCAAATGTATATTTTGATATGACTTAAGATAGCTTTGGTTTGTGAAAATTATTAATTACATAAAATTTGTAAATTCCTTCATTAAACTCAAGTAGGTTGAACTATATTTTTCATATAATCACTGTTGTGATTTTTAAAACAACTCTTTTTGGAATATTATTAGACCTTACAAGTACTCTATTCTGTCTTTACTAGTTTTTAGCTCATTTTCAGAGTATTTTTAGGTAATTTCTGTCATCAATGAATATTTTATAGAGCATACTTAATACTATTTTTCCTCTCCTTTTTTCTTGGTCCTCTCCATCTTCCATATATTATACAGTTTGGTTTAACTTTTACGTGTTTTTGTTTACTTTGGAAAGACTGAATTATCTATTATTTTAGTAAGGGTCAGTGTTAAAAATGTAAACACTAAACAAGACAGCTATTAAAACAACTCTGACAAAAACTTAACAGAATATCCTCAGTTATAAGGCATTTTTAGAATCATTAGTAAATACTTTTGAATAACATTAAATGATTCTATTTAATGGTCATTATGACTCATAGTGGTAGAGAAGAGAGTGATTATAAGTTGATTTACCATCTCATAGATTACTCTCTGAGTGTTACTAGTAATGGTTGCTTTGAGGTGTTTCCTAGAGGAATGGAAATTTATAGATAATATTGAGTTCCTTATAAAAATGTCCTATCCCCTGTATATTAGAATATGACCATATGTGGTAATAAGGTTATGACAGGTAAGCAAATTAAAATGAAATTATCAATCACATCCTTATAAAAAGCAGAAATTTAAATACAAAAGCAGAATGTGATATGATGAGACGTAGAGTGAGTAGCATGTCAATGGCAGAACTGATAGAGCTGCAGTCTTTAACCCATTTTTTGGTTGATGGTGAAGGATAGAAGAGTCTGGTTTCATTTTTAAGCACCATTTATTCAGAAAGAATTGGCCTTTCTCCATTGTATTTTTCTTGGCACCTTTTAAAAAACTGTAGATTTGTGTGTTCACTTCTAGGTCTCATTGTTCTGTTTTTAATGCTAGTACAATCACTGTATTTTAGTTTTTGTTGTATATTTTTAAATCAGGTACTATAATGACTCCTGCATTTTTCCTTGTTTTCTGTAAAGCTTCTGCACCCTGTGTAGCTTCAGCTGCTGAGTGTTTTCATTTGTTTTGTTTTTTTGGATTCTTTTTTGTTACTGTGGCTTCAGCCTTATTTTAGGATTATTTCTTCTATTTCAGTGAAAAATATCATTGGTATTTTGATGACAATTGCACTGAATATGTAAGTTGCTTTGGGTAGTATGGGAAATTTAATATTGATTTTTTTCTAATTCTTGATTACAGGCTATCTTGTTTATGTGTGTCTTCAGTTTCTTCTGGCAACTTTTGTAATTTATTGTAGAGGTATTTCATTTTTTTCATCATCATTATTATTATGGATGGGTTTGATTCCTATTTCAACTCATAGTTTAAATTTCTTTTTTAATATATTTTTTCTACGTATATACATATATATTTTTATTATTTTTTTTGTCAGTCATGGGAGTTGAACTCTGAGCTTGGGCACTGTCCTGAGCTCTTCAGCTCAAGACTAGTGCTCTACCGCTTGAGCCACAGTGCCACTTCTGGTTTTCTGATGGTTAATTAGAGATAAGAATCTTATGGACAATCCTGCCTTGGGCTGGTTTTGAACTGTGATCCTCAGATTTCAGTCTCCTTAGTAGCTAGGATTATAGGCATGAGCCACTGGCACCCGGCTCTGTGTATAGATTTTGTGTCCTGCAAGTTTATTGAATTTAGTTATTAGTTCTGATGCTTTATTAGTAGAGACATCAGGATTTTTATCTATAAAAACTATGTCATTTCAGTAAATGTTTGAATTCCTTTTTTTCTTTGTGATTTGGAATGTTTAATTGCTTTAGGTAGGAGTTCTTGTGCTTTGCTGAAGAAGAGTGGTGAAAATGAATACTCTTTTTTTTCATTCCTTGGAGATAACCTCCTTTTTTTTCTTCCTTTCTTAGGATGCTGGCTTTTGGCTTATTATACATTGCCTTTATTATTATTGAAGTGTATCTCTTCTAGACCTGGTTTGTTCACTTTTGTCATTGAAGTGTGTTAAGTTTCATAAGATGCTTTTCTTCATCTATTAACATGATCATATAGAATTTTTTTTATTCTCTTCATGTAATGAATCTCAGTTACTGACCTCCATATGTTGGATTTTCCTTATGTCCATGAGATGAATCCCAGTCAGTCCATGAGATGAACCCCATTGTGAATAATGGTTCCAGTGTGCTCTGATAATCAGTATGCTAGTGTTTATTTGAAAGCTTCTGCATTTATGCCCTTTAGCTTTTTGCTGTTGTTGTGTTTTCACCTGGTTTCATATCAGAATTAGTTCTCTACTCTCTAGTCTTCTGCTCTGATTTATTATTGTTTTCCTATTACAGATTTTCTGTTTGTTTTCTTCCTTTTTTTTTAAACTTCCTTGAGATACATTAATAGGTTGTTTGAGATGTCTGATACAGGAATTGCGATTGCTAAAGAAATTCCCTTTTAGCATTACATGTGTGTGTGGGGTGTGTGTGTGTGTGTGTGTGTGTGTGTGTGTGTGTGTGTGTGTGTGAGAGAGAGAGAGAGAGAGAGAGAGAGAGAGAGAGAGGTCATGTTTTCGTTGTCATTTATTTCCAGAAATATTTTAATTGATTTCTTCTTTCTTTTATTGGTTATTCAGTAGCAACTTGTTTAATATTCATTTTTTATATATGTTCCAAAGTTTGGGTTATTATTTTCCAGTTTTGTTTTATTTTAGTCTGAAAAGATACTTTATATGGTTTCTATCTTGGAGAAACTTCATGTACTATTGAAAGAATGTATATTCTGCAATTATTAGATAGAACATTATATATATGCTTGTTAGGTACATTTATTCTATTGTTTTTCTGTAAATTTGTAGACTGAAAATCTCTCCATTGCTGAAAGTAGTGTATTAAAGTTCCTGAATATTTATCAGTATTTTTCTCCCCCTTTATACCTATTAATGCTTGGTTTATGCTTATGCATTGAGTTGCATATACATAAATATGTATATGTAACATGAGTGTATATATATATATATATATATATGAAACATGAGTATTTTACATACTGTGCTTAATATTAAAACATTCTTAATTTGTAGAATTACAGTTCATTGATAGATTTCTGATGATTTGTTCTTATTAATTTATGTGTTGTTGCGGGTTTCTTTGCATGAGTCCTGGGACTTGAACTCAGGGCCTAGGCACTGTGCCTGAGCTTTTGCTCAAGGTAGCACTCTACCACTTGAGTCATAATGCTACTTCCGGCTTTTCTGTTGATGTGGTACTGAGGAATTGAACCCAGGGCTTCATGCATGTTAGGCAAGCACTCTACCACTAAGCCATATTTCTTGATCTCAGAATAATTGATCATTTAAAAAATAATTTTCTATTATAGATGCAGTCTCTTAGCCTTTGTTTCTCTGGAAATGTATTTATCTTTTATTTATTTCTAACTTATAGCTTTGCTAAGTACAGATGGCAATCTTTTCCTTCCGTCCTGTAAAAAATTTTGTGCTATTCTCCTTTGGTCTTTAAGGTTTCTGCTGACAAGTATGCTCTTGGGCAAATTGGAACACTATTGTTGTTATGTGGTTGTACAAAGAAGTTACAATTCCATAAGATGTACTGTACAGTGCATCTTGAACAATGCCACCCCTTTCATCCTTCTCACCCATTTCCCCCTCCCTTCCCTACCCTCAAGTTACATAAAAGTTAAATTTTTCATAATGTACAATATAATGACTGCATTTGCTTACCCTTTGAGCACTCTTAAGTGTTACTTTTTTTCCTTGCCTTAATGTCTATTATTCATCTTATTTGACTATATCTCTTGATGTCAAAATTTTTTGACCTCTTGACTGCTGACATTAGACATCCTTGAACACAGGTTTGATGAGTTTTATGTTACTGTCTCCTTGAATAAATCTTTGTACAACAATGGCTTTCTAAATGCCCTCTTAAACCTCATTAACCTAAATATTTGACATCTTACCAGTACTGCAAGGGTCTTGTAAGGCTTCTTGATTCCTATTATTCTTTGTTTTTCCTCTCCTCCAACTATATATTTTCAGAGGCCATCTTTAAGCTCTGTAATTCTTTAAAAAAAAATTTTTAATTGTGAAAATACCATACAGAGGGGTTACAATTAGATGGGCAAGGTAATGAGTACATTTCTTATCAAGCATTGTTGCCCCTGCCTTTGTTTCCCCTTCCCATTCCCCCCCACCCCCACCAAAGTTGTAAAGTTCGTTTTTCGACATAACGTCTTGTACATCTCATTGTTCCAGTGGGTCCTGTATCCCTATTTAAACAATTAGTTTTTTCCCTTCCCCTCAGCAAATTATACCAACATCAAATATAGTGAAAACAGGGGTTATAGCATGGGGGAGGGGGAGGGACATACTAGAGCTCCCCTATACTCAGCAATCCCACTTTTAGGCATTTACCTGAATGATCTGCAATTCTTTTGTTCATTAGATTTGTTCTCATATTTCTGCTGCATTTATGATAGAAGTGCCATGTTTTTAATTCTTCTTACTATATATATATATTTTTTTGTTGGTCATTGGGCTTGAACTCTGGGCCCTGGAAGCTGTCCCTCAGCTCTTCAGCTAAAGGCGAGCACTCTACTAGTTGAGTCACAGCGTTACTTCCGGTTTTCTGGTGGTTTATTGGAGATAAGAGTCTCATGGACTTTTCTGCCCAGGCTGCCTTTGAACCAAGATTCTCAGATCCTGAGTAGCTAGGATTCCAGGAATGAGTCACCAGCGCCCAGCTTACTATGATTTTTGCTTTAAGGATTGGTCTTTTTAAAGATATATTATTAGCTTATATCAATTACATAGGGGGAATTTTTATTCTTACATCTCCTCACATGTTTATTCTGTATTTCAATCAATTTAATTCCCCTAAACCACACTTTCTGCTCCTCTCACCCTAAAAGATAGTACCCCCAACAGGCTTCCTTATTCCATTTTCCTAGTTAGAAGTTACTTCAACAATATTCAGCTTTCTTTATCCTTACTGCTAACACATCTGTCCCACTTGTCCCCATATGTGCTAATGGGCTCCAGTGCTACTAAGCGGTGTCACATCTTGGGTTCACATTCTAGTCCTGGTTAGGACCAAAATCTACCCTGCTACCTAATCTATACTGCTGAAGTGAATCATAGCCCAAGATTGTTGCAACTAGCCTTAAATGATGCTGGACAGAATAGGTGATCGTTAGACAGGGCAATTTTTCTAACTGTCCCCTTTGCTGTTACAGACATTTATATACATGTCTTTCTATAGACAGTGGTTTTCACAGGAAGGGGAGGATATTTAGGAGGACAATGGCTGAATCTTATAGTAAATATAACTGACCTTTTCTAAAATGATTAAAGTGAAAATTTTACATTGTCATCCCAGGAGAATGAGTGTTAAGTTGTTCTGTATTCTTGCTAATAATTGCAGTGGTTATGTTTTTAATTGTACACATTCTAATATTATGGCTTTGATTGGCCGAGTGTTTGAATTTTATTTGAATATTGAATCTCAAATATTTATCCTCAAATATTGGTGTAACTTTTTTTTAGGAGAGAGAGAAGAACCTGAGTTTTCTGTTAGCTGTTTCTTTGAAAATAAAAATATGTTTAAAATTTATGTCGTAGTTTGCTTAGTACTTTAAAGAAAATATACTTGTTGACATTCATTTACAGCTTTTTAATGATTACAGTTAAAAGCAGCAACAAGAGGACCTGGCATTGGTGGCTCATGACTGTAATCCTAGCTACTCAGGAGGCTGAGATCTGAGGATCATGGTTCAAAGCCAGCCTGGGCAGGAAAGTCCATGAGACTCTTATCTCCAATAAACCACTAGAAAACTGAAGTGGCACTGTGGCTCAAGTGGTAGAGCGTTAGCATTCAACTGAAGAGCTTAGGGACAGTGCCCAGACCCAGAGTTCAAGCCCCACAACCGACCAAAAAAATAAAAAAGTAGCAACAAGGGAACAGCATTTTAGATAAATAAACCTCATGTTCTTAGATATATGTAGAACTTGTTCTCTTTGGTTTATACTCTCCATATTCTAAGTTCTTTTAAGAAATCAGTATTAAAATACTTGTTTTGCAACAAAATTGCTTCTTTTTAGTGGGGAAAATTATCATTATGAAGGAGAAGAAATGTTGAACTAAAATTCCACTCAGAAGTTTTGTGTGTGCGGGTGTTTAGCATTTTCTTTGTGCGGGTGTTTAGCATTTTCTAGACGTTAGAGTATTTTTAAAGAAAAATACCTATAACCTGAGATTTTATAACATCAGTACTCAAAAAACAGAAGAATACTCTAAACCCAAGTACTGTTTTATATCAAATAAGGATCGACACTCTTTTTTTATGCATCTGTTCTGCCCACATGAGAAGCCAGCTTCATCATCTGGATGTGTCCTGGAGCTGAAATGTCTTATAAATATAAGAATTTCACTTTTTAAAAATGGCAAACAGAATATGGTATCCAGCTGTGGATTTGCTTATATATCATGTTTGCATTTTTCCCTGAGCTTGTTTTATACAGTATATGGCAATATGTTGTCATACAAATTCCATGATTAATGTTTATTTATGAAATCTTATATAAATATCTTAGAACTCAGTCAAACAATGTGCAAGTAAAATAGTTTTTTTCAGAATTTGGAAAGTACAAATCCCAGAGGAGTAGTAGATTGACTAAGTTCTTTACAAAAAAAAAAAGTCTCATATGTAACCTTTTCCTTTTCCAATTCTATTTTATATCATTTTTTTTTTTTTTTTTTTACTGTTGGTCATGGTGCTTGAACTCTGGGCCTGAGCGCTGTTCCTCAGCTCTTTAGCTGAGGGCTAGCGCCCTACCAGTTGAGCTACAGCACCACCTCCTTTATATCATTCTTTTACAACTTATTTTGCCATGTGGGAAATACAGTTTATAGCTTAGAAAACTAAAGAATGTTTAGATGTGGAAATTATTCAGAAATAAGGATAGCAATCATTTTGTAATTTATACATTAATTATTTTGTGTTACATATTTGTTTTCTAAGTTTGACTCTATCCTGAGTATATCGGATATGTTTACATTTGTTTCATTTTAGTGGTGCTTACTATCATTGTTTTAATTCATAGAAGTGATTGGTTAATTATAAAGTATGCTGTGTGTATGACACTGATTATAAGTATGAATAAATCATCAACAGTAAAACTGTTGGTAGATACTTGTTTTGCTGATTCTTTTATTTTTCAGTTGGATTTTCTTATGTTTACATTTTAACAGATTGTGACTAGATGTTGAAAACTATTTTCTCTCCTGCTCAGGTCCAACTCTTTTATGAACTAGCTGATACCATGAATAAGGTCTGGAATAAGATTCAGAAGAGAAGCAACCTCAGTCCATCTTCAGTCTATCCAGAGACAGTGGCAGGCCCTGTTCCTAGTTCTCCAGTTCGAAGCAGTGTAGGTACAGCTCCTCCAGATACTAGCACATGCAGCCCATCTGGAGACATTGGAACTACTACTGAGGTAAGTGTTTTTGCAAAATTCTGTTACAAAATGTAGGGTAATATATAACACAGAGTTCCGTATCAGTATAGAGGGTGAAGGTGACCTCACCACTGTGGAAGCTGCCAGATTCAGAAGGCTCATGAAGTGTTCTGGTAGTAGTGACTGTGTAATATGTTCCTTTGAGGTCCAAGTATTTTTTATCACTTACAGTAGGTTGTGAGGTAGTTTGAGATCATGCAGGGTCTGTGCAATGGTAGAAAGTTAGGACATGGTAAAGGTGTGTTTCCTCAGGGGTATAGAAACATAGAAGCTGAGTGTAAAAGAGGCTCTGAGCCTAAGCCACCTTTTAAAATCAGGAAATTACTGTTATGTTTACTTTAGTAATTTTCATCCCTGTGACCACCCTAACTTCATCTGGCATACCAGTGCTTTTTTATATAACAAATATTTTATAATGGCTTCTTTATTGTCCTAGAGTAAAAAAAAGATATAATATGAAATGAAAATAAAAAAATTATAGAACACACACTTTTTTTTTTTCTTTTTGCCAGTTCTGGTTCTTGAACTCTGGGCCTGGCTGCTGTCCCTGAGCTTTTGTGTGCAAGGCTAGCACTCTACAACTTGAACCACAGCCCCAGGGCCTTTTCTGCCTGGACTGGTTTCATACTGATCCTCAGATCTCAGCCTCCTTAGTAGATAAGATTATAGGCATAAGCCAGCAGCTCCTGGCTTATACATATAAGTAATGTGCATTATAAAAGTGTTTTGTCCTGACTTCATTGGAAGACAAAATGGAGTAGTCAAATACATGTAATGACTGAACATGATGGTTACAAATAGATTTGTCCAAGTCAATACTAAATACCACAAATGCTATTGTTGTTAGCATGTTTTTCTGAAATAATGACAACTTTTTGAACAAAGCATAGTTAATTCTTTTACTTTAATGGTTGCAATTATGAAACTCAGTATTAAACTCTTTCAAAAATGAAAAAGTTTTTAGATTTTAAAAGTCTATGATCAATTTTTTCTTTTCTTTTTGCTGGATGTGGGGCCTGAACTCTGGGCCTGGGCGCTGTCCCTCAGCTCTTCAGCTCAAGGCTAGCACTCTACCACTTGAGCCACAGCACCACTTCTGTTTTTTTCTGCTTATGTGGGACTGAGAAATCAAACCAAGGGCCTCATGCATGTAAAGCAAGCACTCTACCACTGAGCCACCTTCCCAGCCCAGCTCAAATATTTGTAAATAGTTTTTACCTATGTGATTTGTTTGTGAAAGTATATTATTCTTGATTGTAAATTCTGACTCTAAACCCTTAAATTGCAATAGTGACATAAAATCATCAAATCAATCTAAAACACCCTCATTCATGTCCAGAAAAACCAATACTACTAAATTTTCTTGCTGTGGATTACTATTCTGAAGTATTTGGAGATAGATAGTATGTTTTTGTTTTTTCATAAAGGTACCATTCCCTCTGGAAACAAAGTTATTGGAAAAGTACAGAATAACTGAATACAATAACTGATTGTTAACTTTTTATTTTAAAAATCAATGAAAACAAATAAGCTCTAAAGGGCATATTTCACCTTCTATGAGGTGTTTAAACATATTGGGGTGGATATATTTAACCCCTTGCACAAACAACTTCTCTCTTCTGTATATTCCAAAGCTTAAGATACACAATGACTTAAGTGATGTTATTTCTTCTTTTCTCTTTTGTTTTCTTTTTTCTTTCCAAATGAGTAAAAGGTACAAAGTTCCTATCTCAGGAACCCGTATAAAATTATTGGAATATACCTGTTCTAGAGCAATGGCAGCAATTTTTTTTAAATTGGTGATCCTCAATCTTATTGGTATATAGAAGCTTTGAGTAGTTTACAATAAAGAAAGCTGCTTAACTTTATTGAATGCAGCAGCTGCAAATTTTTTAAAATTACAAATTCTTATTTATTTTCTATCTTTAATACTGTATAAAATGTACTTTGTGAAATTTGGTACAAAGCAAAGTATAAAATAATAAATTATTAGACAAGGTAATTGTAAGATAAATTGATAAATGAACTTAAATCTGCAGACAGTGGAAGTGTTCCATTAAACATTTGTTTGCTAGTCCTGTTTTTAGGAAATGATAGGCTGAACCTAACTTTCTATTTTAAAATTAGTCTTTTGGAACAAGACATTTAAAAACTGTTACATGTGTAGGAGTCACAGAAATGATCATAGTTGTTAGGAACTGCTATTTAAATGTTAGTGTATGAATGGTATAATGATATACTTTGTTTTTTTTCCTTTCCACACAGGACTTTAATGAGAAGGTATCCCACTCAGGGACAATAGATAAGCATTGAATACAAGTGATTAAAATCAGAATTTAAAGTTTGTGGATATAGTAATAATTTTTTTGTCAAATGCCAAACTGTCTATATCTCAAAAATAACTTTTTATTTTCCACTTGATAGAATAGTATGCCACCACAAACACTTATATTTTTGAAGATTATTATGTTTAGCTAATATTTGTTGGACATTTAGTGTATGGCTGCCTCAAAACTATGCAACCTATGCCTCATTAATTATTCCTGACACCATGATGTAAATATTGTCAACCATATGTAGAGATAACGTAATTCCTGGGGAGGTTAATTAATTGCCCAAGGAGGTATAGCTACTAAATAACAGAGGTGGGACTGACCCCAGGTCTACTAAACATCAGAAAACCTTTCACTGAATTATGGAAGTTATGTATTACATTGCTTACAATTTTTCATCAAGTATTAGAGGAATGAAAATTATACATACATACATACATACATACATACATACATATATACACACTTTGGCACAACAACGTAAAACCTTTATAGATGGGGAGACAAAGGCTTGGAAGGAAACATGTGTCATGTGCTGCTCACTTTTGTATCTAAGAATCTGAGATTAATAAGAAATAGTCCATCAAAGCAAAAAAAATTAGTTGGGATGTGGGGTGTGCATGCATGTGTATACACAATAGTGAATTCTAATAAGGCAAACAAATGAATTTAGGGAACTTGAACTTATTTCACTTCCCTATACAGTTGGATAATGGGAGACTTTAGAATTATAAAATGTACAACCTATCCTACATATCATGATAGACTGAATGTGAAATGTTACAGAAATAAATACATTCTACATTTATAGAACTCATCTGTAAGATTTGTAGAGATTTTGTAGAATGACATTATAATTCTTTAAAAAGTGAGTAAGACAAGGTAACAATTTTGCTTTAGTAGGTTTACAGTATAATAGACTAGGAGAATGTTGTCTTTATCAGCAATAGTAAAAGAACTAAAGGGAAAGATTAAGATAGGAAGAAAAATGGGAGGGGCAAGTTGCTTAGTTAAAGAAACATATTCTGGATTTGCTAGGTAGCTTAGTGGAAGAATGCTTGCCTAGCATGCATAAACCATGTACCACAAAAGAAACAAAAGACAAATTAATTCTGATTTTAATAGGATCTTTACATGGCTGCAATTCATTTGGAATTAGAACTCTGTAGCTTTTTTTTTCTGATTGTGATCTGAAGATCAATAATAAATTTACTCATAGTGGATTTGTTTTGTGCTGGCTATGGAATTAAGCTGATCTATTTGACAAAGGAGTAATTATTAAAGACTCAATAAAAATTTTGTAAGTTAATACTCAAAACAAGTAAAACAGATCACAGAAACTCCTTAGTACAACTACTTAGTGATAAAAAATAAAATTAATTAAATTTTAAAAATAAGCTATCAGGCTGGGTGCCAGTGGCTTTTGCCTGCTCAGGAGTCTGAGATTTGAGGATCATAGTTCAAAGTTAGACAGGGCAGGAAAGTCTTATCTTTCAGTTAACCACCAATAAAGCCAAAGTGGAGCTATGTGTCAGATGATAGAGGGCTAGCCTTGAACAAACAAACAGATCTTAACAACAGAACCCAAGCCCTGAGTTCAATACCCAGGACTGGAACAAAAAAATAATAATAAAGGATCAAAGTGTTATGGTTGAGATCTATATAGAGAAATACCAAACATTTTCCAAATGTGTCTTCTTTGCCTATATAATTATGATCAATAAAAGAAATATATGATTTGAAATCTCTGTATGCATCTAAGTTTAAACAACTCTGAAAGTGAGCTGATAAAGATTAATACAAAAATATAATGGTTCTTTTTCCCAGTGTGTACAAATACTTTATGATTCAACTGTGCTTGTTCAGTTCTACCAAAATGTACATTTTGTACCCAGACTTTCATGTCTCATTTCCTATTGCTTTTCTTACTTCTAGAACTATGCTGAATAATATTAGCAACTTTCCTTTCTTTTATTTTTCAGTTCTATTTGGCAAGCTATGTTGTTGTGTTTCTTCGAATAATCATGTTAAAACATGGCTTAGTATTTTGAAGAACATGCCTTTATATTTAAATGTGTCTCCCAGGGAGAGATAAGAGTCATACTTTCTTTGAATAGGCTCAAAAGTCTTTTATGCCTTTTTGGACTTGACATTCCTAAACAGTTTTACCAGCCCTTCTTGTATTCACCATTATCTAGTGATCTTTTAATTACAAGATGACATTCTATTAGCAAAATTGTCATGTAATGAACAGAGCTACCTGTAAATAGATTTAAATATATTGTGCATGTTTGGGGTTAATTATATCACTACTTGCCAACTTTTTAAATTTTTTGGCATAGATTAAAAAATGGTATTGATGAGTACGGTAATCAGAAAAGCTCCAGATTGCTCAGTGTCATTTACTCCAAGCCTCATTGTGAAAACTCTTAAGGGTTTGCAAGTTAATGTGTTAACATCGCTATGATATATCCCACTAGTAAGCAATTTCTGAGTTATAGTTTGTTTTTGATAAATATATTCTTTGTACTTTTTTTATTGCCTCACTAGCAGACGTTAGTAAACCAGAAGTTATTATATTTATTTTGTTTTCATAATTATAGCCCCTTTTCTTCTTGTTATGATAAATATTATGATAGATAAAAG